GGTATCCCCAAGTTAGAATATGTACAATATTTGTTTTAGCTTGACTCTTGCCAAAAGTCATATATCTTTGGGGGTAATATGGAAACACTCAGTGTGGCTCACTCTCCAGTTAGACAACTAATTGAATGACCTCATCAAAAAGATACTGCTCACTCTATTTTTCAGGCCAGGAAACCTATTTGAGTCCTCTTAATGCAACACAAGTTATGTTTTTATGAATGAATGTGTAAACTGATAATGCCCATTAAGGAGGCTGTCTGGATTAGAATAGCACAAGGCTTTGCTCTGTGCTTTCTGCAACTTCCAAAAGTTTAGGCGAAGCTCTGGATGTCAGGTTTATAATACATGCAGGGGAACCAGACCTGAGAAGCACAACACAACTTTTGAGAGTTTCTCTCGCTCTGGTTTCACGGCTTCTCTAGGCTTCGGTTAAACTGCCTCTGGTATCTGCTGTGGTTTCCCAACATCAGTCCCTCGTGACTGCTTTCATCTACTGACTGAGACTGATTTTCCCAAACTCGCGACAACAGTGTTTGTGTCATACTCCAACTCCACGGCAGATGCCCGTGAAAGCCAAGCATTGCAATAGCTCATCCCCCAGCCCAGACTCTTTCTTGTTGTCCCTAGACGTGCAGACAGGCCACGCTCCTGTTCCCCAGCCTGCATTCTTTTCCTGGACCCTCTCCAAAAGGAAGGACACGAATGTGATTATTCACTGTGATCAATGTGAAAATACTGCTACCGGCTCCATGAAGCCTGGCAGAAAGGTCCTTCCTGATGGAACCTGCCATCCCGGGAGCCGCCTCATGCTGTTCTACCTAGGGACATCAGCTCTTCCATTGGGTTTCAAGCTCTTTGAAGGAGTGACTGAATTCCTTCACCTGTGCTTTTCCCTTGAGGTCTCATTTGGGTCCCTGAGAGATAACAAAGGTTCTTGTCCAGCGTTGAATGTTGTGAACCATATTAAAGGAGGGGACTGGGCACCAGACCTCAGTTTGGTGATTTGTGGGGATGTTGCTGAGGTGACTGTGATTTCCTAAAACCCCTCGTGTTCTCCTTTTTTATTTCTGAACTGCTGTGGGTCTCATTTTCTATAAATGTTTGCGCTGTTAAACTACCCTGCTTCTTCTTCCTGTCTAGTCCACTCTCCTCACATAGAAAGCTGGCCACTCCCGCTCTTTGCCAACTGTCTATACTCACATCATTCTTAAAATGTGCTCTTCTGTTCCAGCCCCTTTTTCTCTGTCAACTGAGGAATAGAAAATGGCAATGCCAGTAGAAAATGTTTTAACGGGTGGTGGAGGACTGTGTGGAATGCAGTTCCTTGTGGTTGCTGAACCAAATGAAAGGCTTTTTTTTTTTTTTGCCTTTGTTTCCCTTTCTTTCCAAAATCCATTTATTCAGAAAGATTTCAGAGCAAATCCATATCCAGCTATATGGAAATAATTGGGTTAGATGGCTGCTATCTAATTTAAGTATTTTCTTCAAACATTTGGAACTGATTGGGGTTCAAGAAAGCATAGGTTGACACTACACTATTTTAGCCAAGTTTTGGAAGAGGTTCTAAGCTGTTGTATGCATACTCTAATAAACTGCATAGACTGGAGCTATGGATTATAATTTAGTTTGTCCTTCCAACATTAAACTATTTTAATCGTAATTATAATTCCACTAAAGACTGGCTTTACTCACCAGCTTGCTATAGCTGTACATATCATCCACAACCCTGTTATTTAAACACAGTTCAGAGATCATAAGTAGGAATTCAAAAGGAGAGCTCAAGATGGCATTTGATACCCTCTCAGAAATTTGCCAAAGACCTTGTGGGTCTTAAAATATCCTTTATTTCCCTACCAACCAAACTTGGCAGTTTGAGGATTATTCATAATAAAAAAAGGAATTTTATCAGCTCACAATATGTAGCTTTTTGTTTGGGAACTAATTTTGCTGACTCTTATTTTTGACTAGAAATGTATACAGTAATACGATGGTCATCCAGCAAATTCTAGGGAAAAAAATTACTCATTTATTCAGAAGTCTAGCAAAAATTTTTTGGGGGGTGGGTACTGGGTTTGAACATGGGTCCTTGAGCTTGCAAAGCAGGCAGTAGAACCACTGAGCTAAATCCCTGGCCCTTTTTCTTTCTTTCTTTTTTCTCATTGAGTTTATTGATACATTTTAGATATACAGTACAGTTACTTTTCCCATTGTCCCTGACCTCCCTTCACCCCCTCCTCCCTTCCCTATTTACAAATACTTTATTTCCATTTTTTCATCTTCTCAAGATTTTTTTTCTTTTCCCTTATTACCTTTCCCCTACCCTTCCCACTTCCCCTACACCTTTAGCCCTTTTCTTCCAATTTCACATTGTCAATTATATCATTAGGATTTAATGTACCATTATAGTTTTTCACAGCAGAGAAACCATTAGGTCTTTATACATGTGTGACTTATTTATTTCACTTAGGAGTATATCCTCAATATTCATCCATTTTTCTATGAATGACTCTGATTTCTCATTCTTTATGGCTGAGTAGTATTCCATTTATAGAAAAAACACATCTTCTTTATCCAGTCTCCAACTGATGGGCAAATGGGCTGTTTCCAAGTTTTAGCTATTACAAACTGTGCCGCTATAAACATAAGTGCACATATATCACTGTGATATGATTCTTTTAATTCTTTTAGAAACATGCCCAGCAGAGGGATGGCTGGGTCAAATGTAACTTCTAATCCCAGCTCTTTGAGGTATCTCCACATTGCTTTCCATAGTGGTTGCACCAGTCTGCACTCCCACAAACAATGGAGAAGGGTTTCTTTCTCCCCACAACCCCGCCAACATTTGTTATTGGTTAATTTCTTGATAGCAACCATTCTTTGTGGGGTGAGGTGGAATCTCAGTGTTGTTTTCATCTGCATCTCTCGAATGACCAGTGATATGGAACATTTTTTCATGTATTTACTTGCTGCTTTTACTTCTTTGTCTGAGAAATGACTGTTCATTTCAGATGCTCATTTTTGAATTGGGTCTTTATATTTGGGGTGGCTGATTTTTTTGAGTCCTTTATATATTCTAGATAATAGTCCTTTATCTGAGGAGCAGCTGGTAAAATTTTTTTTCCACATTGTAGATTGTCTTTTAGTTCTGTTGATGGTTTGTTTTGCAGTGCAGAAGGTTTTAATAAGGTGACATCCCAGTTGTTGATTCTTTCTTCTAGTTCCCATGCTACTGTGCATTTGTTCATAAAGTCTTTTCCTATGCCAATGTCTTCAAGAGTTCTGCCTAACTTATCTTCCAGCAAATTTAGTGATTCTTTTCTTGCAGATATTTCTTGGATACTGGCTGTATGCAAGGTGCAATACAAAAATATGAAATACATTTGAATTTTTACCAGAGAAGTGGAAAGATTAAAACATTATATGTCAAGTGCCATAAAGAAATCTTGCTCAAATGCTCTGAGGAATGACAGCCTGCGTGGGATGTGAGCTGAGTCATTCAGAGATCTTGTAAAGGAAGTAGAGTATGAGCTTTGATGACCAGCCAGAGGTCAAGATGCAAAGATGGCGGCTGGCTGGGGAGCAATCTGGACAGGACCACTGGGCCATTCTTAACAGAGGCTCAGGGGCAATACAAGCAGAGGATGAGTGAGAAGCAATAAATACTGTTTGTGTTTCAGCTGCATGCAAATTAAAGCAAACAGAGGTAAAGTTAGACTTAGTCCAGAACCCCAGATTAAACTCAGATAGTGGGGAATATTCCCCCCATTATTTCACTCATTGAAGCATTTCAGATGTAGGTCATAGGACAGTTAATCTGCCATGTGCTTATCATCTTGTCTGTAAAATAAGAGAAACTGCAGTTTGGAAGAGATATTTGGGGAGCTTGGGAATTTATTCTGACCATCAGTGTGGAGTTAAGGAAAGCCACACTAGGCTGGGAAGAGCAAATTGCAACAGAGAGGTGGATAAGAGTTAGGACCTGCTTGGAAGAGGAGAGGAAGTCGAAGGGGGGGAGTTAAGGATAACTGTAAAGAGCCAACCCTGGGCACTGACCCCATTAAGAGTCAGACAAGGCAAGAGGGACAGCTGGTGGAAGGGGGGTTCAGTCTTGCTAGCAGTGCACAGATATGCACGTGTTCCTGAGGGGGCAGTTGGAAATGTGGAATTGAAACTCAGGATATGACCTGGAATGTGGACTTGGGACTCATCAGCATAAAGGAAACAGTGGAAGGTGTAGGCGTGGATGTGAAGGCGGAGGAGCGTGGGTCAGAGAAGGCAGCCGAGGACGGGCCTGTGGGGGAAAGGTGGTTTACCCCTCGATGAGGGAAGAAGAGCCAAATGGAAATCATATTCTGTGTGAGGTCAAGGCAGAACTGGGATTTGGTGTCATTAACATCTGGAGAAGAGGGAGTTTGAAGAGGGTGGGACAGTAATATGCACAGGAGCAGAGAAAAAAGGAAGACAAAAATGGGGGCAGGGGATAGGGGCGTGAAGAGTTCACTGATGACTTTCACAAGAGTAGTCACAGACGCCCAGATTGCTGCAGTGCATCGTCTTTGTGGGGCTTGTATTTGGCCTGTTAAATACTCTATCCTTCCATTTTTTCAAAATAACTGAAATAGTGATAGGGGTGTGTGTGTGTGTGTGTGTGTGTGTGGTGTGTAGTCAGAGAGAGAGAGAAACAGAGAAAGATAAACTTGTGAGTAGGCCACTCCTTTATATAATGTGATAAAATTATTTAAACAAAGTATACCTTCAGTTCACTTTTCATCAATACTAGGAACACTTCATCCAGCCGCAAAATGGAATTTCCAGAAGTTTACATTAGTCTGTCAACAAAACTTCTATCAGAGGTGTCCCTAAAGACATATTCTTCTGTCCCATTTAATCACTTGAAACAACAGCAGCAACAGAGATCTGATGCGAGCAGTTGTTGAACTGAACTGCTGAGCCTACCCCAGGAATGTATTTTGGTCATCGCCTGTTTTCTTTCTTTGCAGAACAAAGGCCAAGCTATGATAGCCACTGGTGGGGTGATCACTGGCCTGGCGGCCCTGAAGAGACAAGACTCTGCCCGATCCCAGCACCATGTCAACCTTAGCCCCTCTCCTGCCGCGGAGGAGAAGAAACCGGTCAGGAGGCGGCCCCGGGCCGACGTTGTGGTTGTTCGTGGCAAAATCCGGCTTTATTCCCCATCTGGTTTCTTCCTCATTTTAGGAGTGCTTATCTCCATCATAGGGATAGCAATGGCTGTCCTTGGATATTGGCCCCAAAAAGAACATTTCATCGATGCTGAAACAACACTGTCAACAAATGAAACTCAGGTCATTCGGAACCAGGGTGGTGTGGTGGTTCGCTTCTTTGAGCAGCATTTACATTCAGATAAAATGAAAATGCTGGGCCCCTTCACCATGGGGATCGGCATTTTCATCTTTATCTGTGCAAATGCCATTCTGCATGAGAACCGAGACAAGGAAACCAAAATCATACACATGAGGGACATCTACTCCACAGTCATTGACATCCACACGCTGAGAGTCAAGGAGCAGAAGCATTTGAACGGCCTTTACTCTGGCTTGTTGGGGGAGCCAGAAGTGAAGCAGAACGGGAGCTCCTGCGCCTCAAGATTGGCAGCAAACACGGTCACCTCCTTCTCAGGTTTGCGGGGCAGCTTCCGGATGGATAGCTCTGTGGAGGAGGATGAACTCATGCTCAATGAAAGTAAGGGTTTGGGGCATCTCGTACCCCCGCTGCTCTCTGACAGCTCTGTCTCGGTCTTCGGCCTTTATCCACCTCCTTCCAAGACCACTGACGATAAGACCAGTGGCTCTAAGAAATGCGAGACCAAGTCCATTGTGTCATCGTCCATCAGTGCTTTTACATTGCCTGTGATCAAACTTAATAACTGTGTTATCGATGAGCCCAGTATAGATAACATCACGGAGGATGCTGATAACCTCAAGAGCAGGTCGAGGAATTTGTCGATGGATTCCCTTGTGGTCCCTCTACCCAACATGGGCGAATCCTTCCAGCCCGTCAGCATGGGGCTCCCAAGGAATAATTCCATTGGGGAGTCACTGTCCAGCCAGTACAAGTCCTCGGTGGCCCTCGGACCTGGGGCTGGACAGCTCTTGTCACCTGGAGCTGCTAGAAGACAGTTTGGATCCAACACATCCTTGCATCTGCTCTCCTCACACTCCAAATCCCTAGACTTAGAGAGGGGTCCCTCCACCCTAACTGTCCAGGCTGAACAGCGGAAACATCCCAGTTGGCCTCGGCTTGATCGGAGCAACAGCAAGGGATACATGAAACTGGAGAATAAAGAAGACCCGATGGATAGGTTGCTTGTGCCCCAAGCAGCAATCAAAAAAGATTTTACCAATAAGGAGAAGCTTCTGATGATTTCAAGATCTCATAATAATTTGAGCTTTGAACACGATGAGTTTTTGAGTAACAACCTAAAGCGAGGAACTTCTGAAACAAGGTTTTAATGTTTTAAACAATGTCATTTTCCAAGGCTATATATTTTAAAACTATTTTTACCAGTGCTTCCTTCTTAAAGCATTGGCTATAAGCTTTTTAAAACAAATGTTCTCTGATGTACTAGAACTGGCTGCTTAATTCTGTAATGGAGATGGTTGTATGTTGAGGCTATAATTTTGGGTTTTATTTATCTTTGGAAAGCATGATCTTTTTTTCAAAATGAATACAAAATGTTTGTGTCCCAATTAAAACTGTGCTTTACTTTTAAGTTCTTCCATTGGTTGTCATATTCAGAGAATGAAAGATTTAGTAGGGTACCCAAGTGTGGAGTAGAGGTACCAAATTCAGACCCAGCTCTCAGTACTAAATAATGTGAATCGGCCAAATTGGTTCAGTTCTATGTGAGCTCATTAATAAGAACTGAGTAAGTTGGTTGTGACTATTCCTATGAGTTCTAGGTAGATTCTAATTTTCCAACATCACTTTTGCTTCAGTTATGTTTTCATCAAGAAATCATTTATTCAAGAGCCATGGCTGAGAATGCCAGATGTACTTAATGGATAAATGCAAAAAAATCCATTAACTATAACTTTAGATATTAAGAATTAGAATGTCTTTGCAGACTGACTTAAAAATGAATAAACGAACGTAGTTTGTAGAAATGCTGTCGAAGTCATATCCTGGAAGAAAATGTTGACTAAAGGATGACAACATATTTTATGCTGGTTAAGGACAGCTAGTCTCGATACTATTTTCCAGCTGTCTGTTACCATCTAATCCCCACTTAACCCCATATCCTTATTCCCCTAAAATAGGATTAGATCCTGTTATTTGGAAAATAGAGAGCTAACCTTGACATTTCTTTTTATCTTCTCATACCATCATCTTGGTGGGTCAAAAAAATTTAGTCCTTGATAAACTGCCTTGAAATTAACCTTGTGCTAGAAAGCCTTAGGCCCACTCTGAAGAGTGTGGTAAAATAAATGTAGAATTGTAGTTTTCAGTTATTGAAGATTCTAAAATGGATATAACCATCGGAAAATTTCATGTTTTCCATTGAAGTGTAACATAATTTTAAGAACTGTTGAATGGATTACTCAGAAAAGTTTACAGGTTTTTTCCCAAGGCCTGAGCATCTCTGAACATCAGTTTGCAGGTGTGGTAGAGCAGAAGGAAGATATGCTTGTACATGAAGCTCCCCATGGCCCCACCTCGTGATCCTGTCCTGAGCTTCCTCCAACTACTCCAGCCATCTGTTAGAACATCAGGCCTGTGTACTGTCACAGAGTTGGCTCAATGTTTTACTATAAAGCATTTAATAAAAATCTCTTTTTTTTTTTTTT